AAACCTAAGCTTCGCAAACATTTCTATGTTCAGTCACGGGATATTCAACTCTTGTTTAATTAAACTTAATTAAAATGCAATTCTCCATTGTATTGCATTGTAATTGAGTTTAATTAAACTCCAATTAAAACGCAACCCTATATAGGAACGCGTTTTAATCGAGTTCATATCGCAACTATATTAAAAGTTAATTCAACTATATTAAAAGTTAATCCAATGTAGTCCTCGGAACATATTGCAATACAAGTATGTGTGTGTGTGTGTGTGTGTGTGTGTGTGTGTGTGTGTGTCCATCCATTCATTCACTCAATGACATTCACATTCAAGCATAGACCCTCCAGTATTCTACTGGAGGGTCTATGATTCAAGCACAGACCACTATTAACCATTAAGGTGTGAAATAGTGACATACCTTGGTAATGCATCTACATCCTTGAGTCTTGTCAATCTTTCCAACATGTCTTCCCTGTAATGTATCACATAAAGAATATTACAATTCATTTGAATGAATATGTTGTATGAAACATTCATACTAAAATATTGTTGCAAAAAATGCAATTCAGATCAAATTGAAGATGAAATGCATTTCAATTTGGATTGCAATTTCTATGAAGTAGAGAGAAAACATGTCTTGAAGTATTTTAAAATAAAAATTAATGACTTGTCCAGAATGGAAAGCTTTGTGAAAATAATGGGAAATAATATGGCTTTGCCATATTATTTAAAAAAATACAATTTTTTAAAAGATAAATATGTAACTGTGGTCTGGGAGAACCTTGCTGCTGTTTAATCAATTTTTCAGAGATTTTCTAATTTCTTTCTATGTTGAATTTCAGTGTATTTTAATTTTAGTGTTTTAGTGTGTCTTATTTTATTTGTCTTTTGTATTCATTTTTTTACCTTACCAAACCCACAGATGGTTAAGTTGTGTAATAAAGTTATTATTATTATTATTATTATTATTATTATGATAAGGTGTTTTGACTTGTCTTGCTTATATAGTCTGTAACATTCAATACACAGGGACTACCGGTAGTTGTGAATAAATTTGACTCCAATAATACGCTACCTTACTAATTAAAGTTCAAATAAACCAAGACAATAACTGCATCCAGTGAAAACAACATGATAACAATTTGTAGCAGAAAACACCAAAAGTTCTCAGCATTCATGTAGTGGTTATTAAAATAAAGCCAATTTTCTTATAAAGCTAAGACATT